CTCTCTCTCTCTCTCTCTCTCTCTCTCTCTCTCTCTCTCTTTCCCTCTTTCACCTAGCCGGCGGGCATATCTGGGTACCTTTTCATTCACTGCAAGTTCGAAAACGAGAACGCGTCATTAAAGCTATACGTTGGACTCGGAAGAGCCCGCTATGCCGATCATTGTCTGGCCATTAGCGCATTTTCCTGGCGTGCCCATTTACCTCTTTTTCACTGTTCTTTTCTCTCACACAGTCCAGTTACTCTCCATCCCTTCTTCTCTTTCGTGTAGCAAAATACTGCACGACTCACCTCAAGTTTTTCACCACTTTTTTGCGCTGCGCAATACTCGTTGGAGATAACGATTTCTGGAATATCTGTATTGCCGGCTGGATAAGGGCTCGCCTTTCCAACGTCGATGAAAATATTTCTTTTCTTCTCTTCCATACATTTCCAACCGCTCTTATTCACCCCCTCTCATTATTCACCCTTAATGCAACTCTTTTAAATTATCCTTCATTCATTTTATTCCCCCTGAAGATAATATGGGCTGGCGGAAGCCATTAATCGAGCTTTAAAAAAAAATTCATCGATTTTATAATTTTTAATTATGCATTTCACTTCCTCCAAGACCTTTTTCTTGCCGCATTATGTGATAATTATCTATTGACAAGTGGCTTTCACAGTGTAATCAGTTTTCAAAGGCTTTCCAGATATAAGAACTAAAGGTTGGGGGTGGTCGGGATAAAGCAAAAGAGTGCGGGGATGGGATTAATAAGTTGTCTGGTGTCTCTATATAAATACCACCGTCCGCACCACCGATTGCTGGGACACGGTTGCGCCTTTCACCACTGCGCACACTCAACTGAAAATTCTTCATTTCACTCCATCTCTCACATTATAATGTATCCACTGTCTCCTTTCAGTACCACCCCCTACACGTGCCCTCCTCCCTTGCTGTGCGCATTCAATCGCTATCTCTGTTCTCCACGTACCGACGCCGGGCGTCGTCGTTGTAGTTGGACTCACCACGACGTTAAAACCCGCCACTCGCTCAGTTACAGGCCAAGCGCGACGCCAACAAGACACGATATCATCCCTCTCGGTCCCAGTTTCATAAACCACCACCAGGAGTCATTTGTTTTCTTACCGAAACAACGGGATAATCAATTAATCAATTAAAGTTGTAAATTAAACAGTCAAATATTGCATCAACGGGTCAATTAAATTCTCTTCAAAATTATCTGTGCTAGAAAGTAAAGCGTCAAGCTCAAATTTAGTTTGTTATTGCACCAACAGAAGTGCTTGTTGAATATAAAAAATAATAAACTCGAGGAAAAACTATATATTTTAAAATTATAAATAAGACATGTTTGACGTGTTTGGAGTTTGTTTTCTTAGTTTTGAAAGCACCACGGAAAACTTTTCGTGACCACCTGTGAAGCGAGCCTCACGTGATATTGGAATTCTTCGGGGTATACATAAAATATTTTATGTGAATGAGAGAAGCTGAGGGAAGAAATAAACGACAGAACAGAATAGAATAGAAGTAGGGCCTGCGTTGACGGAGTGGTATATGCACAAATCCATATTCTAATATTTAGGCCCGAATATTGTGGCTTCGTCCGAGGCTGTACAGTGATAGTGAAGTGAAGAATAAAGGGAGGAAAAGTTCTTCTCGTGGAGAGCCATCCAGAACGGTAACAAGTTCTTTCGGCAACTGTGAATATCCTACAGGTACGGATGCATATGATAATACTGCCTAGGGAGGATTGATCCTCGATCTCGATTCACGCGATGCTGCACCGTTATTCAATCGAGATGAAAACATGTGATAATCCACTCACTTCCTGCTCCACAATTTACCGGTTTACGGACGAATTTAATTGATAGGTTGGAGGATGGGAAATCACTTGGATCGATTTTTCCCATTCAATCTGAAGTTGAATGTTCCATTAATTCTGTATGGAAGAATACGAGCGTTGTTATTTGTTTTCATGGAACATTGATGAATAGTGGAATAAAAATGTTATTTGAATGATGATTTTTGAATGAAACTCGAAGGATTTAGTGGAGATGAGAGGTTGGCATGTAATTTCCCAAGAGCATCGAGGTGTATGTGCATTCTCGCGTAACAAAGCTGTGGGCAAATACCGAGAAAGAGATTTCGGATGAATCAAGTGTTCTTTCCATAAATTTTATTATCATTTTGTTGCCTTTCATGGCGTTTCTCCCCTCGTTTAATTAAAACGAAACTGAATTTGGAGGAGACAGACAGTGATTGGGTCACATCGCATTCTGGTAGTTGGTAGATATAGCCCCAGTACCACTCGTGAAAAGATGAATTGGCGGATTGGACAGTGACGGTTATCTCTGGGCGGGGCTACGGCACACACACACACACACACACACACACACACATGCCACTGTATACAGTGTTGTTGCCACAGAGGAGTATAGAAAGTAATAGATAGTGGCAATGAGGTGCACTCACTTGGCGGCTCTCTGCCGTTACGGATTTAGACGACATCCGGACTATTCCATCCTCCGTTATCCGTCTTCATATCATCAAATTTACTACAACACCTGGGTCTATCCGTCATTTTTCTACTAGACAAATTGATGGGAGGAAGTGAAACAGTAAAGAGGAGAAATTCTTTAGAAAAATTTTTACTCTTAAAATTATTTTTAAATTTCATATAAATGCGGGAGAAATTGACCTGTTGATGGATTTTTTTCCTGATCGTCTAATTGTTCCTTCCACTAGTGGAAAATAATTAGAATTTCATAGGCAGTTGACTACTGATTTTCAGGAGGGTGACATTAACTTCATTTGGAGGGAAAAAATCGTGGTATTGCAGATTTCACTGGGAATTCAATGAAATTTTACATTTTTGAGCAGCAGGAGGATGGCAATTCCCCAATTTATTTGAATTTTCAATCAAAATTAGAATATTTAGTACCACATTGCGCTGAATTGGGATGATGAGAATGACAATTTCCATCGATTATATATTTTTTTAATTTTCAAGAAATGCAGCGGAAATTTCAGTTGAAAATTTTCAACAGTGTATCATAAAGCATAAGTGGTTGAACGATTGAACGATGAATACTACAACATGAAAAGCAACAAGAGATGATTGCTCCTACGGTGAATAAGGAAGCGGCCGGAATACTTCCAATAATACGCCCTTTTCTCCAGTTGTTCGACCTCACATCACACGGGGGTTAATCTACTTTGGCTTTACGCCGTTCGATGTTGCTCTGTCGCACGAGGGGGATTTTAATTTAAATTCCTCGGGTGCTCGAGCACTGTGCGTTTATACCAACGTTTCAGTTTATATTTTTCCTCCAGCAACTTCTCTTTCCTCCTTGCATTATCAGTATCTCTCGCCGTCGACTTCAGCAAGAGTGAAAAAAAAAAACAGTATGAAGAATTTATTTTTCGTGCACTGTCACTCTGAGGGGCTGTTATCGAAATAGAAAAATGCGCGTGCGTCAGCGACATCGAACTAATCAAATCTATGAAGACGCAGAGTTCAGTGGAGAGGTTGGTTTGCACTGTTGTACCCCGGGGGTGGGCGTTGAAAGTAGTTTCCCAATTGTGAATAGCAAACATACCGAGGGTTGGCGAATTAATTAAAGCAAAATGAGAAAAAAATTTCCCGCAGTTATCAACGGTCCTCAAAGAAATTATCGAAATCGGGGAGTACTTTTTACATTTTTTCCTCCGCATTGTTTCACCGATTTCATTTCTACACTTTTAAAGTTTAATTAGCATGCTAAATGCCTTTGTATTCCCCCTCAATCACATTATTTGCGGTCCATAGAGACGTAGAGGCGGTGAGTAAAGCCAGCAAAATACTCTAAAATATCCTCCGGCTTAGTTGGACTATTTTCTCCAGGATTTTTGGTCCCCCGAGATGTAGTGAAACGAATGGCTCTCTCTATGCTTTTACCGCCTTCGCCTCCACTGAATCCCACCCTGAGAAACAGGCGAATTCACCGATATGGGAGTGTCAGCCAGTGAACAAATCAAGGCACATTTTTTTTCCGTTTACATTTCAATCCTCGTGAAAGGGCTTTACTTGTGTTCACATTGGCCAAATTGAAAACAGGGACGGGCAAAAACTGGCGAAAAAAAAAGACCGATGAGGAAAAAGGAATGTGATATTAAATTCAACATGAATTTTTACACGAGGCCATAAAAATTCGATAACCGAGATTGAATTTATAATGAAAGCGGTTTGATCGCTAGGTAAAATAAATCCGTGGATGGAAGACATGAGGGAGGGGGAGGGGGAAAAGTAGTAGAAAGGGGTGAATGTAGCCAGGGATCCTCGTCTCTTCCATTTGCACCTTTCGACGCGGACGTTTATCGAAATCCGATAGCAGGGTGGGAGGGGGAGGGGTAGGGGTAGGGGTGGGAAAAGGGAAGCGGGAGAAGGGGTGTGGGATATTTCCAACCGATAATCGAGAGCGCGCAAGTGAGGCCCGACAGTTCCCTCGCTGCGGGTCGTTAATCGCGACACGTCGCACATCGCGACCTTCTAACTATAACTGTATATATATCAACCCTATGTGCCGTCAGGCTATGCTCTTCACTTGGCGTGAATCCCGCATAGTCCAGATTTTGAGGATCGATAAGAGCTGTACTAGGAAATACACGAGCCAGAGGCGCAACGTCTGCTGCAAAATGTTTTACAAGACTCTACTGTCCTACTTGACAACAGACTAGAAGAGGGATAATAGAAAAAAATATATCTTTCCAATACTCGTTCGCAATGGGCGTACGCTCTCCCGGGAGTGAACGAAGTGAAAGTAATTACGGATCAACGATGAAAAAATAATACACGTATAAGTCATCCTTGGAGCTGCGTGAAATTTTCTTGTTATTTAATTTGATAAAACTTCTCAAAAATGTTCAACAGTGCAGCTAGCAATTCCAATAAATAAAAATACTGTCTTTTACGACTGGGGGTAATTTTTAAGAGAAATTTCTCCCCCTTTGGGACTATAAAAAATTCAGCGAGAAATAATCTCGTATTGCCTCTCTATTTCCTCCATATCCTTCGCGGTCGCTGATGTCTTACGATTCATAAATGATTATCGCCAAACACGAATGACCACACCAAATCACACACTTAATCATGTCATCTCTCCCTAGAGCACGTAATTACATATTGTTATTGCAGTATTCGGTTAGCATTGAGTAAATACAATGTATCACGTGGAAACAAGTTGGGTAGTGATGTGAGTCTGTATTTTGACAAACGCATTTGGTGGAAGCCCTAGTAGCGATTCAGTCGTCGGNGGGGGGGGGGGGGGGGGGCTATTGTGGTCGTACGACATGTAGAAAGATATACAGGTAAACGGGACGAAATACTCATGCACGTGGGGTAGATGGTGAGTGTAGTTAGAATGTTCAGAGAGGGCTGAAACAGAGTGCATCGATTTATGTGCGCCAGCAAACTCGTGTCAGCGAACCAGTCGCACGAGCCACCTAGACTCAGGCTGTTGGGATTCCGTAGCACCCACCACACTCCTGCGTTATTCCTGCCATTTTCATTTCTCTCTGTATCTATTTAGTTTGCATCCACTGTACTATGCTGACGGGCTCGTAAAAATTTACGGTGCAACAGACATCAATTTTTTTTTATTTATTCATTCGCCAATTTTTTTCCATTGGTTTTTGAGAGGAATATTTTCACTCACTGCGGGAGCTGTATTTTCATCGTCGACAGATTTCACTCCACAAATTGTACCTAAATAACGAAAAAAATATCTTTGCGTAATCGACACATCAAGTTCCTTGGAATTTCACGAGAGTTGATTTTTATATGTCTAAATTGGGGAGGGGGGGGGGGGATAAAGAGTGACATTAAAAGGGACGAGATGACAATCGGAAATTGTTCGCGGCTGCGTAAGCTTTCTCATTACACCGATTGCTTTGGGGATGTGTATGAAATGACAATGGCTTGAGCGACACACTTTTTCCTACTCCACAGACTTTTAGACTCTTTTTTTTTTCGTTCCGTTTGTACATTATCGTAGGATGTAAAGATAGTGCATACCGCTAAAACGCCACCCTCTCACCCCAAATGCAAGTTCTCTCTTGTGATATTTGTTTCTGTTCATTCAAAACAGAAAAAAAAATCATTCCAGTTTGGAGTTGAGAAAAAAATGGAGAGATAAAGGACTTGAAAGAGGATACACATGCACAAATACACTAAATGAGTTTATTGATCCTGTCTGTCATCAAATGCGATGAGTGGATAATATGAAATTACCTCATCACCATTGATACTTTCTCCGAACATGTCCTCCTTGATTCATCATCACTCATATGCATTACAAAACACAACGCGACAGTGGTTGTGCTGAGTGAATTGCATGCACTTGCATTATCCAAACCGCTGGTGTATTCCGAGCGTCATTGAACTCTCCCTTGCAGTGCAAGTGTTGAGAATTGACGAGTGCATGTCGCGACTTTTCACGTGAGGAGTGAAAAAAAGAAACATTCATTGCATTAAAAAAAAAAATGCAAATGCAGTGGATGCGAGGGTTGAGGTCGACGAGAATGGAAGGAAAAAAATCCGCCAAAAGAAGGGACGCAGTAAAGCGGAAAGGTTGCGAGTACACATTTATGATTTTTTTTTTTTTTCAAATGAACAATGCCGGCAGAGTGTATGGCATTGTTTGATGATAGTGAAAAATACGTCGCTGCCGGTAAATAT